TCTGAAAAAACCTGGCGCTGACCCCACCAACTTCAATAACCTACGTCCAATCTCTAATCTGCCTTTCATCTCTAAAATCCTTGAGAAACCTGTTGCAACTCAACGCAACACCCATCTCTCCAACAATAACCTCTATGAACAACTTCCAATCTGGCCTCCGCTCCCTCCATAGTACAGAAACTGCCCTCATTAAAATCACCAATGATCTCCTCGTGACAGCTGATTTTGGTTTATTTCCATACTCATCCTCCTTGACCTAACTGCAGCTTTTGACACCATTTGTCATTCCACCCTCCTCAATAGACTCTCTGCCCTTGGTATCACTCAGACTCCTCTAAACTGGCTTAAAATCATACCTGTCATGCTGCACTCAGTCCAGCTAAAAACCTTCACATCCCAGACCTCCTCTGTCACTTCAGGTGTGCCCCAGGGGTCTGTCCTGGGTCCCCTTCTCTTCATCATCTATCTTCTCTCCCTTGGTAATAACTTCCACAAACACTCCATAAACTTACACTGCTACGCCGATGACACCCAGCTCTACCAAGCCAGCAAACCCGACTCCAACCTCCCGTCCCCTTCCCTTTTAGACTGCTTGACTGAAATAAAATCCTGGTTCACCTCAAATTTTCTTAAACTAAACAGTAACAAAACTGAGGTTCTCCTCATTGGTACCAAATCAACATTATACAAAACCAACAGTTTCTCTATTGATATCGACAATTGCACAATTTCCCCCTCCCCACGTCCGATATTCCACTGTTGTATTTTAACTTGTTCTTAATGTTTTATTGTTTTTTAATGTTGTGTTGTTATCTTTGTATTCACTGTAAGGTGTCCTTGGGTGACAGAAAGGTGCAGATGAAATAAAATGTAATATTATTATTATTATTATTATCTCACCAATCTCCCTGGGGTTGGGCCAAGCCATGGGTTGGTGTGAGGCCAGTGTGGAGAACAGCGTGTCTGAAAACTCCGACATGAGAACATCCATGTCAAAAAGGTTATCCATCTCCATGGGTGTTGGAGTCTCAGCATACTTGCGAGGAACCCAACGTAGAGCGGTGTCGTCATCCTGATTAAAGGAGACATGAAGCATGTCTGGAGAGACTTCCCCAAACAGCAACAACTGCTCCTGTTTTCCCTTCAGGTGTTCAACATACAAGCACCAAGCAAAGAAGCAAAAATATGCACAAGCGCACGCACGCATACACACATTCATGCAAAAATTGTGCGTTAGTAAAGTTAGGGTGGGATGTCAGTCAAAGAACTCTGTGGCTTAACACTTAAACGTCAAATGTGCAGGTGTCTTGGTTCGTGGTTAATTACATTAGCCAATGGTGATGTTCATCTGACACCAACAACACTTTAAATGGCTGAGCATGATGCAGATGGTCCTACCTTTAGCAAACTGGAGAGGTCATCGTCCTTGTGCTTGTGCAACTGTAAAATAGTAAAAATGTTTTAATGTTATAGAAAGTCTTTAGGCAAATGGATCAAGGAAAAGCAAGACGTTTTAGTCAATAAAGAATTCTCTACCCTTTTCTTAAAGTATGTTCTCCATTTATGATATTCTCTGATCACAATTTCAATTCTTCTTTTCCAGCATTTTTCCTCTGTGACGATGCCCTTCAGGGGAAAAAGGAAGAACGTAAATTAACCACATTTACTTTATTATCACGAACACAGCATAAAATGACAATGAGGAAGTTTGTTCGGACACAAAAATCATTCATGTTTTTTTTTTTTTTTTCATTTCGACCTCAGGCCGATGGACATCCAAGTCTGTGTTTCCATCGAGGGGAGTCACAAAGTGACAGACAGGATTCTTCCTTCTCTCCACGTCTGCGGTAGTAGGAGAAAACAAGACACCAGTTCACTAAGTTCTAATATCTATACTAAAATCTATACAGTTTAAAGCTTGGTGCTCTTACACTGCATGTACCAGGCCCTCCATATGGCGTTGTTCAGGCGGATTTTGTCTCTCCAAAGCAGCTTCAGACCCTTAAAGTTTTTCCACTTGGGAGAAACCAGTTCACCACTGAAAAGACAAAACCAAATTAAAATGAAAACAGAGGAAAATATTACATATAATTCAAGAACCTTTGTTAGAAGAGGATTGACCAAGAGAAATCTTGACAACGTCTTAATTCCTATAAGTTTGACTCTATTCATTGGTGTGACCAATAATTTAATAATTCAAAATATTAAAAAAGATAATAAAATAAGTTTTGCATAGAGAATAATATCCAGATATATAGCGTATATCAAGATCTCCTAGAAAAATGTTTTAAGATATCATTTTTTAATATAAAAATGTTATAATACCATAAGATCACCTGAGCTTTACCCACAACAATCCTCTACACCTATCAGGAGAATGAGGTCACTCTGACCAGCATGTGTACCATTTGGATATTGTGCATACAAATAAGAAGTAGTCTTTCAAGGTCAAGTTGCAGTTAGAATTACACAGTAGTTGAAAATAGAGCCATGGTGTGGAAACAACTTAGAAGGGTTTTCTCACACAACAACACAAGAGTCAAAATAGAAACACTGAACATCTGTTCATACTTTCATGAAACCAACCCTAAGCCAGGACTTTTGGTATTTATTTTAATGTCGCTGTACTGGAAAAATAAAATTAACTTCTGGTTAAAAAAATTTGTCAAGTGACAGATGACATGGCTGAGGTCTGTTGACCACAGTCCAACAGGCTGAGCTGACAGTTTGACTCTGCACACTTCCTGATCTGTCCTTTTTACAGCCTCTGCTTCCTGCCAAAGCATTCCTATTATTTCCACTGTCATGAGTTATGTGAGCTTTCTTTTAGTGCATGTACAGTATGAACAGACGAAGCTGTTCTAGTTAGCAGCTCAGAGGGCAGAGTAAGTCTTAAGAGAGGTTGGACTAATCCCAATGTTACGCTGTGAGTGACGACTCTCGTGAACTCAAACACCGCTCACTTCTGCTTTTAGGATAAGTGACAACAGTAGAACAGTAACAGTTCCAGTGCTTTCTTGCTCTATTTATAGTCTTTCCACACATCTGAGTCATGCCATTTATGCAGTCTGAGGAAATCCTCGCAGCAGCTGGCTCGCCATTAACACCGTGATGGTAAACATAGGCAACATGAGCCGAGCATTTCTGTCACAACCTACTGTAACTCTTTATTTTAGTATTCAGCATTTGAACATCAAGGGATCTAAAACCCACCTACAGCCCACACAAAATAAAACATGTTTCTGAATTGATTAATTAATGGAATTCAACCTACGACTTACATATATTTTTGTTTGCTTAGACAAACGTGCACCTTCAGCAATAGACTCATTCCATCAAGGGCGAGAGACAACAGAAGCTACGACTCCACCCTGGCCTAAAAAGTCTGACTACACTCAACAAACACAAATTTCTTGCTACAACTGCCTCCATCTCTGCCAGCTGTAGTTTTACACCAACCATCTCCATCTCCTCTTTTGACAATGCTCACAAATCGTATCTGTGGTCTTTTCCTCCTGCTTGGCAGCTTCATCTCTGACATTCTTGGTCTAAAATATCTACCATCCTTCCTCAGCACAAGTCCAAACCTGCCCACTTTTCTTCGTTACTATCCAATATCATTTGTGCATTGCTAAATAATAATGACTTCAAAGCTTGCAGAAAATTGGTTGCTCTGTACAAATAAATACATTACAATGTTATAAGTTGTGAAAAGGCTGTAAGTGCTGTGTCTGTGCAATTATAAAGTATTTGCAGACTTCTGCTTAAGACCTATTGCAATGAAGATGGACTGCAGCATTGTCTTCAGTCTGTGTGTGACTGTGTGTAGAGGAAATGTGAAACCCAGATGACTTGAACCACCTACCCTTAAACCACCTCAAAATGTAGGTCTTATCATTTTTGCCACAGAGACATGTCAAATATCTATAAATCCTTACAAATCAGGCTTCACCACAGAGCAGCTGATAAAGAACCAGCGGTGTTAGCTACTATACAGAATTAGCTAACTGACAACTCTGAGGCTGTGCCGACTGTGTACTGTCAACAAAGAGGCCTATTATTATGTCCTAACATAATGAACATCTGTGAGACATAACTAATGATTTGCAAGTGACACTTCTTAGAGTCAGTCATTCTCATGGACACCTCTTTAAGTACAGTAGTTGATTTTGTAGCAGTAGTTGAGCTGGTTCTTCACACTCCTTGCATCTTTGGTATTTGAATATACTGTATTTTATTGGACAAAATGTACACATTTACAGTACAATATAGAAAATATTCACAAATCTACATACAGTATGTAAGATTTTTTATTAAAAATAATAAGTGGGACACATGATGACTACTGTGACATGGTACTGAGTAAATTGTTCAAGGGTAAGGCGATATTCCCTGGGGATTGTTGAGACCTGTTAGTTTAGTTAAGTAGAATTGTTTTATTGACTTAGAAATTTTACTCCTCTCTTTTAACAGCTTCTTTCAAAATGTAGAGTGATTATTTTCTTCAGAAATTCCTAATGCCAATGTTGTTTTTTTTTGTCAGTTTAGGAAATGTAACAAAAAACTGGAAACCAGAGGTCACATTTATGGGCAGGGTTTAAAAGATATAGAAATGTACCGGCTGAGGAAGTTCTCTTGTCAAAACAGAAATATTTCCACAGAGTAAGAAATTGTTTTCACAAATCTTCTCATAAAATGACCAGAACGCTCCATTGGCACAAATGAATACATTTTCACATCAAAGTTAAATTTTTCCATGACAGTTTCTAATGAACTCCCACCTACGGGGTCAAAAGTCATGCATATACAGTATCAGCTCCTGCTCTTGGCACTGACAGACTTCTCTTTGCACCTGAAATCTTTTCACAACACTTACTGCAGATTTGATAGACATAAATACATTGCCCTTTAGCTGTTGCAGAGTTGAAAGTCTGATCGCTTCCTACACCATGTGATTATTTTTTTAAAACCTATTTTTAGTCAATTGAACGTTAATTCGCTTGGCAACCCCTGAAAAAAGGTAAAGGCGAAAGGAAAAGAAGAAGATTTTTAGTCAATCAGGAAGTATCATGTAAACCTCATGAGTATAGTCTCACACAGGAAAAGAAGGGCACAGATATGATGTCAGTGGGTGAGAGGACCCCACCTATGACAGACTGTAGTTAAAATCACAGCTCACCTGTACGCCAGAGTCATGCACTCGAACAGTTTTATGAGTGAAGCGTCAATGGAGAACTGGGACGTGCTCGCTTTACCGAAGTGATAAGTTTGACAGGTCTGTTTGTTGACTGTGTCGAAGTCGTAGTTCTTCTTCGGCGGGAGTTCACAGTGAGGCGAGGACACCATGAAGTGTCCACTGTGGATGATTCGAGACTCCCACGCATCTGCCTTCCTCAGCCCCACGTTACACTCCTCCGTGTCCGAGTCATCGTCCGGCTTCGTGATCGTCGAAGGGCGACGATATGTCTGCTGTAATGACATCTCTCTGCTGCAGTGTCAGTGGTTACCTACTCTCCAAACAAATAGCTAACGTTAGCTAGCCACCTAAGACAATAAAACCCTGACCGATCATGGACTCCGATAGCGACATTGTCGATTGCCGCATAAGGTCTGTCAACTTCGTGAAGAAGAGTCCAACTGTATTTCACCCATTATGTAGTTGGCTGTTGGAAAGTCGTTCCCCAAAAAAACATGTTGTATAACTTGGAGTTGACGTAGTTCAGTGCCAGCAGACACCAGCTGACTGTTCCCTACTCAGAGACCAAGCAGGAAGTTCCTGTGTGTACGCGCCGCTGATTGGTCAGGGTCACAGCGACACCCTCTAATATACGAGATAACGAATCTTGAACGAATAATTTCATTCGTTTTACAGCAGGTGGCGCTTTTGCCTTACTGTGGACGTTGTAAAGAAGGCTGCGGTTCTCCGACACTAAATACTGAAGGCAACATGGTTTGCTTCCGCTGACAAAGTCTACAAAGTACACAAAATGCCATAAGGAATTAAAACCATGTGAAAAGCTAAGAAATAAAAACACACCACAATGTGAAGATGAATGAGAGCAAAAGAGACCCGAGCTCTCTGTCACGTGACAAATGAAACGAATCTGCGAGAACGAAGCGAAAGATTAGTTCACAGAGAATGATTCGTTGATAGTGGTTAGTTCATAGCGAAAGATTAGTTCACGGCAAAGGATTAGTTCGCAGAGAGTGATTTGTTCGCAGTGAGTGATTACTTCGCAGTGAGTGACTTGTGAGTGATTCGTGAGTTCAATATGAACAAATATTTCATATGACTCGGGAGTCACGAGTCATATGAAAGATTCGTTCATTTTGAACGAATCACTCCCGAACGACACATCACTAATTAGTTCACAGCGAAAGATTAGTTTACAGTGAAAGATTAGTTCGCAGAGTGATTTGTTCGCAGTGAAAGATTAGTTCACAGTGAAAGCTTAGTTCGCAGTGAGTGATTTGTGAGTTCAATATGAACAAATCTTTCATATGACTCGGGAGTCACGGGTGTTGTGGCCCTCTGCCACCCCGGATTCGCTGATCGATCTCAAACGGTATTAACTAAGAACTTTCATAAAGTACAAAGAAAAGACAAAAGTCGTTGCTCAAGTTCGCCTGTGCACAGGGAGGATCCAACGGAGAGTCAGAAGACTAACTGCTGAATTCTGCCCCTTCACAAGATCAGGCTCTTTTTATTAGCAGACCCTTGCCCAAAATACACAGATGTTGCACGTCAGATTGACATCCTGTTTGTTATCATATTTGATAAACGATCTTATTGTTCTTTGTTTTCCACACTCA